CTGTAAAAGTTCCCAATACAATGGTTTTGGGGGGAAAATAAAAAATAGGTTGTGGTTGATTGCTACTGATCTCCGTAAGGCAGGGGCGGAGAATCTTTTTTTTTTCTGCCAACTGCCATTTGGATCTATAACATCATTCACAGGCCATACTGGTCAAGCACCTAATTAACTCACCCCTAATGTGATGATGGCTGGAACTGCTTCTCTTTCGTGAGGCATGTGGTATTAGGTGGTATCATGATTTCATGAGACTTCCACAGCCCTTAGACTGGACATTCCCTTTCGTGCCTAAGGTGAGGGCCCTGTTTTAAAGCTGAAATGTGCCTGGTGATTATGTAGATTATGGAGTCCCCATGTGGTGCAAGCAATTTTAAAGCTTAATTGATTGATTGAAAGATTGGAGGTTCTAGTTTACCTAGAGGCACCATAGAAGAAAGGTCTGGCTGGCTATTGACATCCAAACTAATCATCTGTTGAAAACCCTTGGAGCACAGTGCTCCTGCTGCACCTTGGGTCCCTTGCATGACGTCACCCCAGCAGCTGCAGGTTCTGGTGGGTTCCATGTGCTTTTATATCTGTGCACCTCATAAATTCTCAGTCTAATCAAAATATTTTCCTGAAGATTCTTCTGTTTTGTTTTTTAACAGATAGGGTTTATTCAAGAAAGATGAGGATATTATTGGTAGAAATGTGTTTTTTGTTTTTTTAATGTAGAAAAATTTGAGAATAACTTAATGTTAAATACAGATTGTTCCGTTCTGTGGGTGTCAGAATAGAACTTTAGATGATGTGTAAAATGATTATCTGAAAAAAATGTAATACTATTTAGTTTTTTATTTCCTGTCCATATCAGAATTTGGATTAAAAATAGAAAGTGCATTCATTGATGTCTGTTGCAAATCTTAGAGTGTGTATGTCTGGTTATTTTAAGTGGATGATTAATGTAAAAAGCCTCCAGGTTTTGGAAAGAATTCAGCAAAATGAAAAGTTGCTTTTTGATGTCTGCAGCCAACCTGGAGAAATTACAATTCAGGCCATTAACAATGAATTTTTGAATAAAGATCTTTTTGTTTTTCTTTTATCCTGGAACCAGGAAGACTGAGCGTCTTGTAAAATTCAACATTGTTTGGTCCTTGGCATTCCAAAGCAGGTTTGACAAATACAGTGGATCATCTTTATCGAAGAATGTTTTCATTTTAACTCTTGGTTAAAAACTTCAACTGTGATTCTTTTGCTGTTTCCCAGTGAGGATAAAGTGATGCTAATTTCCCTGCTCTTCCTTTATGAAGTAGATTTGAGTTTCAATCAAATACAGTTTTAAAATTTTTATAAAGTGAGACATTGGAGTAGTAATATTTTTCCTTTGTAAATTATAATAGCACATTAGAATTTTCATCAGTCACTTCTTCTTGTGTTCCCCGCTGTTCAAGTTTCCAGCACTGCCCTATTTTCTATCTTTTCTTTTGTTACTGAAAAATGAACTCTGATAGCACAGTGGGTTAATTGTTGTACTGCTCACTGCAAGGGCGGCAATTTGAACTTACCAGCTGCTCCTTGGGAGAAAGATGACAGTGCCCGTTCCTGTAGAGTCTCAAAAATCCAATGGAACAATTCGACTCTGACTTCTAGGGTTGTTATGAGTTAAAACCAACTTGATGGCAGTGAATTTGTGTTTTGGTTTGTTGCTAAAAGCTCTTTCTGTATCGCCTTCATTTTCACCATCTTTGTTGCATAATGATTACAGGTGACCTGCTAATAACAGTATGGCCGCCTTCTAGCCCTCACCTTTTGCAACCTCTTTGTAACATCTGGCCCTGTTTACCCATTTACCAAATCCTGTTGACTCTGCTTTGAAAATCCATCCCTAATCCAACCACTTCTCACCACTGCCACCTCCACCATTTAATCACGGTGAAATAGTTTATGGTGCCAGCCTGGGCAATAAACACAAGTGGGATTAACTGAAGGGCAGAGAGATAAATGCCTTGGTGAGTCTCGCCTTTCTTGTCTCTCGCTCTTTGATCATCGGACCAGTGTGCGGCTGCCTTGCTTGTCCTGTGCCTCAATTTAAAGGCTACTCTACCTGTGGGACGCCTAGCCTGTGGACTGTGTCGCTGTAAGTTGAGGTCCCTTTAAGACATCGCTGGAGCTGGGGACTGGCAGTTGGTGACCTGGCTGGCAGTTGGTGACCTGCCTTGTGATTGGCTGCTGTGCTGACATAGCCTAGCTCTCTCTATAAATAGAGTAAGATCTGGCAGCAGATTGGACTGGAAGGACTGCTAGTCTCTCACATCTCTCTCACGGGAGTAAGTTGAATTGAGCCATTTGTAGTGCTTTATAATTTAATTGTTTCTTTCTTGTATTATATATTTAACTGTATATGATTTAACAGTTCATTCCTTGTTATATATCTAATTATCTTTATAAATAAATATATTAAGTTATCAGCAATTTGGTTTTATCTCTCTAGAGAACCCTGTCTAACACACACGGATTCTCACTTGGTATATACCACATTGGCTTCCTAACTCTCCCTGTTCTGCTCTTGGCCTCAACACGTTATTCTCTAGAGTAATCCCTTTAAATAGTAAAAGGTTACCTTTCACAAGAGAGCTTCCAAGCAAAAGCTACAGCCTGTGCCATTGCTTTTAAGGTTCTCTGTGATTAGAGCCACCCTGCCTTCCAACCTTATTTTCTACCATGTTCCCCTCTTCGACTTCTTTCTTTCTCTCTTTTTTAATCATTTTATTGGGGGATTGTACAACTCTTAATCACAATCCACACATCCATCCATTGTGTCAAGCACAGTTGTACATTTGTTGCCATCATCATTTTCAAAACATTTTCATGCTACTTGAGCCCTTGGTATCAGCTCATTTTACCCCTCCCCCCCCTTCCCGAACCCTTGATAAATTATAAATTATTATTTTTTCCTGTCTCATGCTGTCTCCTCTTCCCCGCCGGCCAGATGTGTGTCGTCTGCTCCGCAGGGAGGGGGTTATATGTAGATAATTGTGATTGGTTTCCCCTTTGTCCCCGACCTTACCCATACCCTTCCTCTCATTATTGGTTCTGAGGGGTTTATCTGTCCTGGATTCCCTGTACTTATCTGTACCCATGTACATCCTTTGGTTTAGCCGGATTTGTAAGGTAGAATTGGGGTCATGATATTTGGGGGGAGGAAGCATTAAAGAACTAGAGGAAAGTTGTATGTTTCATTGTTGGTACACTGCACCCTGACTGGTTCGTCTCCTCCCTTAAACCCTTCTGTAAGGGGATGTCCAGTTGCCTACAGATGGGCTTTGGGCCTCCACTCCACACTCTGCCTCATTCACAATGATAGGATTTTTTTGTTCTGGGTCTTTGATTTCTTCTTCTTTCTTAACGTTTTTCCCTTTTCGTTTTAAGCATTAAATTGCATTTTCAAAAAGGAAAATCAAAACATTTAAAACATAAAAATAAGTAAATAATAAAATAACAATTGCATTTCACCATTAATTCAGTCATGGATAATGTATTTATGACCAGGTTCTTTACTTGTAATTTAGGTACAAAGAAACATTTTAAGACTATAGTGCCAATATTTCTAGGAATAAATTAAGCAGAAAAGTTCTTTGCAGAGTTTTTATGATACTCTAGTACACTGCTAGTTGCCTGGTAACTCCTTCAGGTAAAAGCTTAGTTTATCCTCTCCTAATGACATAGTTGGACCTTGTATAAGGAAGATAGAAGAATTGTGGTGCTGTAGAAAAATATTGAAAGTACCTTGGAGAGCTAATAGGATAAACCAATCTGTGTTGGAAGAAGTATGGCCACAATGCTCCTTAGAGTCTTTGTCATACATACTTTGGGCATATCATGTTTAGTGAAGTCGAAGGGCAGCAAAAAAGAGGAAGGCCCTCGGTGAGATGGATTGACAAAGTGGCTGCATCAATGGGCTCAGGCATAGGAATAATTTTGGGGATGGCACTGGACCATGCAGTATTTCATTCTGTTGTGCATAGGGTCCCTCTAAGTCAGAGCCAACCCAATGGCACCTAATAACAACAATGACGTAGATTACATGTTGGTTTGCAAACCACAAGGTCAGCAGTTCAAATCCACCAGTTGTTCCATGGGAGCGAGATGAGGCTTTCTACTCTCATAAAGAGTTAGTCTTGGAAACCCACAGGATCCATTCTGTTGACTCAGCTATGTGTCAGTTAGAATGTATTCATGACGCCTACGGACCCCCTTCTACTTAAAACTTATGTCCTTTATTCTCAATTTTCAGTGGCTACGTTAGTAAGAAAGAAAAAAGAAAGTTTTGCATAATAAATTCAGCTTAAAAATAGGCTTAGTATCTATAGTGTGTCATATGTAACTCTGTATAATGTATGCTAGTGTATAATACTATTGACACTTTTTTTCCCCTTGCATGTTAATCTAGCAGTCTTCTCACTTCTAGAGAAGATCAATCTTAAGTTTAAGGATGATAGTGGGAATTCATTGGTGTATTCACTTGCCATTTTGCTCTTTTTTTTTTTTTAAAGGGTCATTGTACCTGTCTCCATGGGTAGGCAGTGAGGACCAGGCCTCTGAAGCTCTGACACTGGCACATAGCCATAGGGCGCTGGCAGCTGGAAGAGTTGTATACAGTCAGCACCAGTCATGTTCTCATGTGCACTTGGAAACGCCTCTCTCTGGCTTAGTACTTTAGCATCTGTAAACTATTTTGAGGTGAGCTACTCAATCAGAAAGAAGCTCCGGTGGTGTTTTGGGTTAGGTATTAGGCTACAACTTCAAGGATGGCAGTTCAAACCCACCAGCCACTGTGAGGAAGAGAGATGAGACTGCTATGGACAGACTTGGGAACCCTGTATATTGTCACTATGAATTCGCATTGACTCCATGATAGTGGATTTGTGTGTGTGTGTGTGTGTGTATTGTGTGAATCAGACTTTAACAATGATTGACTAATCATTTTAAATTAATTTGGTGTTTCTTTTTCTTTTTTCCAGGTGTATGGTGGCTGATGAAGTAAGTATTTTTATGATTTCTTTGCCTTTTAAAATATTTTATAACCGGCCTTGGATGTCTACTGTTTTCCAGACACCATTCTTTCTCTTTCAGTATGTCTGTAGAGGAGTTCTGCAAGTGCTGTTGAATAAATGTAGGACTGGAAACATCGAGGTTGGGATTCATGTCCACCAGTGGCTATATGCAGGATAAGATGACACTATCTGCTTCTGTAAAAATCTACAGCCTCAGAAGCCATGTATAGTGTCACCAGCAGCCCCAAGGAGAAAGAGTGGGCTTTCTACTCCCGTAAACAGTTACAGTCTTAGAAACACAAGGGGGCTGGGCATGAGTCGGCATTGATTTGATGGCAGTGCGGATGGTCAGAATTGACTTGATTGAAGCAGGAATGAGAGATGTGTGTGTATGTGGAAAGAGGGCGAGTGGGAAGTAAAGTTGTGGGGGCCAGAATGAATGAGTGTGTGTATAGGGAATGTGTTAATATTATTGACATTAATGTTTCATATTTTTATATTGTCTTCCAACAATGCATAAATATACTATGAAATGTATCCCCGATGTTGAATTCATTTTCACACCTGTTACAATACTACATGCTTAAAGATTTAAAAGTTAAAGTTTTAAGATATTTCTTTAAAGGTTATTTTTAATTGTTTTCATATTCTTAAAGCTATAGTACTAAAAGGATTGCACTGCTAGCCATAAAGTCAGCAATTCAAACCCACCAGAAATGAGGATATCTGTTCCCATAAAGTTTTATAGCTTCAGAGACCCCATGTAGTGCCATTTTAAGTTTGAGTTGACTCAGTGGCAGTGGGGTTTGTGTGCTTGTTTGTTTCACTACATGGATATTTTATCATTTATTTACCATTCAGTGATTTGATGTGCTTTTTCACAATTTCTCAATAAACTTTTGGTTTAGATCATAGGTTCCCCAAATTATTTCTCATTCCACCCCCTTTACAGAAAAAATATTACTCAGTGCCCCCTTGGCAGTTAAAAACTTTTGTTCCATAGCCTATAATCCAAGATAAAGTATAGGTATTTCCTTTTGCAGGCCCCTCTGAATCTTACCAGTACCCCCTGCCCCCCAGGGGATGATACACCCTCATTGACAGAAACTGGTTTAGATGAACTTTCAGTTTTAGTAACATGGATACTCACCAATGGCTTATTTCCACAGTATCTTCTTTGGAAAAGAAACAAATACAAATGCTCAGCAAAAAGATTGTGATAATATTTTTTGGTTCAAATTGATTAGTTGCCTATGCTTTTAATTTAAACTTCTCATTATGTAGATTTTTATTTAGACTAGGTATTAGATGGGACATAAACATTTGAGAAACAAGTGCAAAAGTTTCTCTTTGTAAAGTATGAATTCGAAAGGCTATTCATAAATACATCCACTTGAGAGTCTGTATTGACTGTAAGACGCTTTTGTTTTTAGCCCCTGAATATGTTTTCACCAAATAAGAATGTACACTCATCCTTTAAATCCTCAAATCTAGGCACAACCATTTTCTCTTACACATACATAATTTTTCATTTTATAATAAATGATAAATGTTGCCATGTATATAGTCAGTTTAGATTTTTAATGATCTAGTATTTTACACATGGAAAACACACTTAAAATATACTATTTTGGATGCTAACAAGTCATGGGGAAAGTCTTGAACCTGTGGTAAGGTTTGCTTCCTTGTTTTTCATTTTGATGTCTTTAAATGGGCCTTAAATCTATGGAAACATTTATACAATAGAATAAAAACTTTATCAACACCTTAAAACTTCTTAATTTTCATTCTCTGACAAAACACTGTCTTCTCAGTTAACTATAGACTAGGGTATCGAAACATCATGAGAAATCCTTAAGAAATTTTTTTCATTATACAGAGGTAAGACAAAAAGTATTACTACACCCCATTTGAGGGGAATAAATAACAGAATTATAGGTGAACGGATACATTGAATGGTGTAAGATATGGGAAAATAATACTATAACATAATAATAATGTTCCTGGAGGGTAGGATAGGGGAGGGAGGGGATAAAAGGGAGCTAATATTAAAGAGTTCAAGAAGAAAGAAAATGTTTTAAAATGATGGTGGCAGCAATTGTACAATTATGCTTGATCTAATTGAATTATGGATTGTTATAATATCTGTAAGAGCTCCCAATAAAATGATTTAAAAAAATATTACTATAATAATTTTTTAAGAAGATTTAAAAAATAAATTAAAACGTGAAGTCTCTGTTTCTTAACATAACCTCCATCTAGGTGTGTACACTTCAGAAGGTGGGTACCATCTCTTTAACCTTAGATTTCTGTATGCTTTGATTTATATCACATCTAAATGGTATTAGATGTAGAGGGACTCAAATTGTTTCTTTAGAATACCCTTTGAGTTTTGGTAACAAAAATAAGTCTGAAAGGACAAGATCAGGGCTTTAGGGTGGATGAGGTAAGGTATCCCTTGAGAAATTCCCATAGGACAGGATTTGCTACCCGTGAAAAATGATCCTCTGGCTATATAGCATTTCTGTTACTCTTATGGAAGTATGATTTTTGATTCAAAAAATGGGAGGCAGAGGCAAATGCCTTTGTCTAGCTTCTGTAAAAGTCATGATTTGAACCCAAAAAGCACACTTGTCTGATTACTCAAGTGTTTTACCCAATATACATAATTAGCCTCCTATGTTTTTTCATTTTGTTATGCCTTCTCATAGTCACTGAACACTGAGTCCTTTTTATTCATGTTCAGTTGGTTCATTTTGATCCTCCTTTTAAGCTAATTTAGCCAGCAAGCATCTGAATCATCCTTTGACTGCAGTTCTATTGTCTTAATTTGTTGGTGTGAAGAAATAAAGCCAGTACTAGCCTACCCATACCCACTGCCATTAAATGATTCTGACTTATAGTGACACTATATAGGGTTTCTAAGGCTGTGCACCTTTATGGAGTGTCAACATAAGTTATTTTAAACAAAAACAAATTAAGAAATAAGGGATTGTACTCTTGACATTTTCTTTGTGATAATTGAAGTCATTTTGCAGATGAAAACTGTCACAGAACGTCGTCTGTTGTAGAAAATTTTTCTTTCATGCGTTTTTGTCAACGGTATAAAACATATAAAAAAGTATAGCGTCTGGGGTCTTAAAGGCTTGAAGGTAATCAAGCGGCCATCAAGCTC